CAGATTCACACTCTTGGGATGTGTGTCTCTGCTGCTATGGGCTTGGAACGAACTAAAAAAAGAAGGGCCCACAGCAGGCATCCAAATGCCCCCTAACTGATCCAATTATTGGAAATAAAGTTATTGCAGCTTCACTTCTTCCTAATTCAAAGAATCCACAGTAAGATTCCAAAGAAGTGGGTAAAATGGATCCTTAGAGGTAAAATATATAGAGAAAAAAAAACCACAGGTATGAGTAGGTTTGACTCATGTAAAAAAAAGATCCTAATGTTTTAAGTGTAAAAAAATTATTAGCCTGCCAATGAAACGGTTAGTGATTAATGATTTCATTACTCTTCTCACAAACTCCAGAGAACAGTGTTTTTTACAAGTAAAAAGCAGAACTCCTTAATCTGTTAAGACGGCTGCATTTTATATAAAAGTGTCTTTGAAGAAGCCTAAAATCTAACCCTGAACACACAGTACTATGTATGGAAGAGCTCAAATTAAAATTTAGCAAATCTGAATAAAGTAAAAAACTAAAGCAACTTGAAAAAGTCTCTGAAAAAAAGATGAATTACTTTGTTTTTTTCAAGTAATTTTCAAGGTTATCCTCCCTTTTCCCCTTCCTAGAAGACTCAGAGCTCCTTTCAACATTAATATTGTAAATATTTTTGATTCACTGTATTTGGGTTTTTTATAAAAGCATGAAAGATCTTGAGGTATAAACATAGAACATGAAAATTAATTCAGTAGCAGGTCTAAATCTTGAAGAACAAGGAACACCTTAATGTAATGTTCTAGGAAAGGTTTAGACCGAAAGTGACTGACTAGCTTTGAACTACTTGACTACACTCAAAAATAACCCACTTGTGTCTGAATGGTGGCAAAGCACAAGCTAATGCAAAGAATTAAGGTACCAAAATGAAATTTCTCCCTCAACATCCCTCCCACCAACCAAGGAAAAAAGATTTCTGAGAAAACCAGAAATTCCTAGGACATAATTTTCTAGAACTCAACAGGATTTCCTGTACTTTCTTGGAGCAGTCAACTTCAGAATGTGAACAAAGCACAGCTCCAGTTAAGTGAACAAAATAGATTCAGAATACGGACCTCCACCTGTTCCAAAAGGATTCAAGAGAGAAGAGAAGAAAGTGTGTTCAAAGCTTCATTATTTTTCTAAAGAAATACAAATGTCATCAAAATATCACAATGTACCTAAGCAGAGGATGGTTCACTCGTTGCCAATTGTTGTGGAAAAAGATAATTCCTTTCTGTATTAGCCCTTCTGAATCACTTTTTTACCAACTCAGATAATCTGAGTCTTGATAAATAATTGCTGGATCTATTTGTAATACTACAAAAGAAGATATGATTTAGTATTAATTGACATGTTGTATCTGATGAGGTTATAGAGGCCATTGTGAGGGGGGCAATGGGAACTGAAGACCAGAGGTATGTCGTGTTCCAGGGACTTACCTGGTACTGATTTGTCCTGAGGCTATTAAACACAATATGTGTATTAAAATGTAAATTTTGGAACCAAGTGCCTTGATCTCCAAAATCTCCAACTATTCCTTTCTTTAACAGATACAGACAAATTACTTGCAAAATTAAACAAAACAGAGAGACTTCCTTGATGGAAAAAGAGGGAAGAGGAGATGGACTTTTGTCTTTCCACACAGAGAACAAGGATGAAATCAAACTTCGTGCCTTTCTATCATGATGAAATGACCATATAATCCACTTGATCCAAGATCCAATCAGATCAACAGGATAGAATTATAAAAACAGAGCTCTAAAAAAAGCACTCTGATATGAGGCAAAAGGTCTATATTATAAAAACGGTCCTTATGCACACCTGACAGACATTAGGTCAAATCTGCCAGATTTTGCATTGCTGATTTTTGCACTAAGAATTCCTTTTTCAGAAAGCAAAAGCATGACAATCAGGTTCCAGAAAGACACACTGCTTTTCAAAGAAGGTGCTTTGGCAAAAGCCTGCATAAGTTCCACCTCTGAAACAGACTGCCTCCCAACTCGAGAGACATTGGTGGAAGCTAAATATGTTCACAGTTTTGTTAGAATTAACAATTTATTACAGAAAGTACTACAATTACCAAAGGGCTCCAATCCCCATTTCCCACTGTGTCAAACATTATAAAAGGACCTCAGCACTAAAAAAACCCAAAAAAACCCCCAAAAAACCCCCGACCTTAGCATTGCCTTAGGCAAGTGTAGCAGTTGTAAAGTTTTAGCAAGAATCCCCTCAAAAAAACCTGTGCTTCTCATCTGGAATAAAGAGTTCCACCACACTACTGTTTCCAAGCCTCAAAAAGAACAGGTAATATCAAACCAAAGCCTTGCTGTTAAAAAGAAAGCATCTGAAAACCACGGATGAAGCATAGTACTATAGAGATTTCATGCCTTAAAAAAAGAACAGAAGAGACCACTGATCTTCTACCAAAACTTGCAAGCACAATTCTACTCAAAGTAATTTATGGAAGACAATCACATATGCCTGCACAGAAAGTGACATGTGACTGTAATGTGTATTCCCATGCCTTGATTACAAAAGCAGCAAAGATGCTTTCATGCAGATTTTAGCATGTGGTAGCATCTTGAGCACGTTCTCTAGAGGGATGCTTGCTCTTGTAAAGCATCAGCTAGCACTATGCATTCCTGTTTTGATTAGACCCAGTACTTGCTCTAATCACACTATTTTCTTGACATAACATGATCTGAAGTTACAGTATATGTACTAAAATGCACAAATGCCAGGCTTTTGCATAAATACAGTAAGCAGTTTTGCTAAAATGAATAACTTATTTAGGAGTTATTTGATACATTTCTAGCAGACATATTCCCATAGGAACAATAGAGGAAGCTTCCTCCTGCAGTTACACCAAACCAAACAGCTGTAACTAGAACAATCCCAGAGTATATCAACTTGTAGACATAGTAGAAACTTACAAGCAACTGCAAAGTGTTACCAAAAAATAAAAGCCATATTTCTCCAAGGTAACAGCTTTTCAGGATATCTGTCCCAAGACTTCTAAAAATCCTTCTACTCAATACTATTCACTCATGGCTGAAATCTCATCAGCCAAAGTGAAAAGAGCTGCTGTCTAGCACAGGGGGCAACTTATCACCAGTGAATAAATGGTGATCATTTATTCCAATATAAGGTAGAACTCTTACACCTGATCCATAGCAACTGCAGGAACTCAGGAAGAACTGAGACCCATCAGAGGATGCAGGCAGAAGGGAAACAGAATCCTTATTTAGGAAGATAGTTATTGAGCTGTGGTGAAGGGGAGAGATTACATTCTATAAAAATCACTCCTTTCCCCAAAAGAAACATATCAGAGTCTGCCTATGACTACGTAATTACAATAAACAAACTTTACAACTAATGTTCAACATTTCCTGAAAGCCAGAATAAAAGAGAGAGTGTTTTTGTCTTGTTCTAAATGTTTGAATGCTGCTGCTCATCATCAAAAACACAGTGCCTTTTTCCAGACACTTCTCAGCTAAAATGTGTTGGAGATTCTACTTGAAGTATGTGGATATAAAAGTAGCTGTTGAAGTATTAGAGGACAAACCACAAGCCCTCCATCGATAACTAAAATTAGTAGAAGAGATTTAAGCAAAGTAACAAATTCCCCATCTCATTGAATTAAAATCAAAGACTGAAGAGTCTCCTTTGAGGTCAGCACACATTTTCTCCATATATTCACAAACGTTTCCTAAAAAGACTTGATTTAGTTACCAAATAAGAAATATCTAAGAAGTTAAACTTTTTAGTATTTGCAACAACCACATTTGCAAACACACACATACACTCATATAAACTCTCTCTCTCTGCTCCCCCATCCGCCCCAGCATCTTTAAAACAGAAAAAAATCTTTGAAAAGGGAGAAAATTTGTGCTCTCTCTGCCAGTTAAAGACCCACACTGTATGTAAATTCAATTGTGTCCATGCAAGTATGTCCAAAATCGACAATTTTTACCTATGAACTTCCAAAATCAGAATTCGCATTTTCCACTCTGCAAGATTTTTCTTCCACATGTCTAATAAATTAGCATTATACTACAAAAGATTTTTTTTCTCAGAAGTTAAATACGGTGCAGAGGAAGCTTCTGAAAAATGTTAACTTATCCCTGTCTAATTTACAAAATACATCTTATCTTCAAGATTTACATCTTTGCATCTACTTTTCAGATTTCTGAAGCCTAAGACCTCTTCAAACCACTTAACAACAGAAAAAAACCAAACCAAACCAAACCAACTCAAAAATGTTAGATTCAATGAAATCAGTTAAGACAACCTTACAGCTACTGAAGTGAAAACATTTCAGATGCTCATCTGGTTCTGTGCTAGAGACCATATAGATATATGGTAGTTCTTTAAAGCTACATAATAATGAATATCCAGTTGAACAAACATTGGAGATAACATAGTAGTGTATATTACCCAATCATTACACTGCCTTTATAAGAATAGATATGATTTTACTCTAACACCTCCATCACTTTAAGTTCAAATGGGGATATGAATAGAAATGGGATAAAAGAGTTTTCCTGTATTTTCTTAAATTAGACAATATGTATAGTTAATTAATAATTCAACTGGCAAAACTTACTACAAATATTGACTTATGGCACTGATGGTATATTAGAAACTATACACAATGTAAATTGTACTTCATTCAGTCTCATGGTTCAAAATAGGAGTAGCTTAAAAAGAATTTTGAAACATAAGAACTCACTTTCCATCCATTAAGATCCCAAATAAAGAATACCAGATATTAAAAATACGCATATATGAGAGATTACAGTTCATTGTTGGAGGGGAATGGAGATGAATGTCGCAGAAGAACCTACACTGAGTAAACAGAATTGAACTATGTGACAATGACAGGAAGTTTTTTTATATATATATATATATATATGCAGATTATATACATATATATATATTTATGTAATATATAGTGTATACACACACACAATCCTTTTACCTTTATCTTGCACTTCTTTTGAAAATCGCTCCCTTTCAATAGCTGATTCACGTTCTATCCGCTCAATTTCAGCCAATGCATCCAATTCTACTTCATCATATGACGTTATAGTTCCTTGTTGCGAAACCTGTTGCTGTGTCTGTACCACAGGAGTTTGAGGTTGTTTTGCAGCAACTGAAGTGTTCTGTTGTAAAACAGGCACTTGTTGTGCCTGAAGGAAAGCTGTCTGTTCATGCTGCGGCAAACACTGAGCAGCGTTTAGTGGGCGGTTAACATCCTGTGGAGTAACGGGTGTTTTAGAAGTCTGTCCTGGGTACTGCACATTAAAAGGAATATCACTCTCTGACACACTGCTGTTTTCCAAACCAGAAAGCATATCATCCTGCTGGTCCAAATCCGAAGATCTTACACGAGAGAGTCTTAACGTAAGTTTAGTGGAGTCCTTGGAAGGAGAACTAATGATATCATACATTGCAGCTTTTTCAGTCTGGTCTTTTTCATCCTTGCCTAACTTCATTTTCTTTTGTTTCTTTTGCTTTCTTTCTGGAGAATCTAACAATATGTCTGGGGGAACATCTCTAGGTGATGCATAAGGTGGAGGCTGAGATTGTTGGATTAAAGGTTGTCTTGATCCTAGAATAACAATTCAGAAAAACTGAACAGTTATGTTGTTTCATGTTTATATAAAAACACACTAGATATAACCTACATAATTTTAATGTGTATTTCTACATATATCTGTGTTCACAAAAGGTCTAAATAAGATTGGTAGGACGCACATCATTCCTAGACCAAGATGTAATCTAGACAGTTGCAGTGCATTTCCTAGGAATTTTAGCAGTCCACTGCAGGTAGAGAAGGGATCATTTCAGAGAAGATGGAACAAAAACAACCCACCACCAAAAAAGAATAAATAAAAATAGTACTTGCAGGTTCAGAATATCAACTATTAGAAAACGATGAATGAAAGCAAGTTGACTACAGAAAAAAGGAAAGACTGAAATGATTCTTAACAGGGTCCAGTGATGAAGACTTCATGATTATTGTATAGGCATTAGCCATTTCAGCCACACACTTTTAATTTAAAAAAAAAAAAAAAAAATCAAAATCAAAATATAAACAACCTCCTTAACACTGATTCTGACAGCTCCTTTTCAACTTTTTTTTTCTTTTTTAAAAATTTTATTTTAGGTAAATTCATTCCAACCTCTCCGACTCATTATTGTTTTAAGGCATTTTTCTACCATTTCCTGCCTTATCTACTCTCCCCCTCCCTTTTTTCCTTAAACATATGAATTTTTACTTCTACATGCACTCCTTCCAGGTTTTGATTGTATCTAGAGAAATTTTTAAAAGAGGACATTTTTAATTAAAAACATTCTCCAATTAATCACATTTAATTTTATTTTCCTCAAATTAAACCAGCTCCCTATAACTGTTAGCCCAGAAAACAGCTTTGAAAAACAGAGAAGCTTTTCAACTTGTCCCTAATATAATTGTGGGCTGCAATTTTTGGCTTAAAAAGGAACACTGGGTTGGGGGGGGGGTGTGGGGGTGTGGTGTGTGTGTGAGAAAAGCCTATTTCCTGGCCAGCCCCCTCTTGCTAAAGTAAACATTTGTCAGATTCCATTCATCCCCTGGGGAATACTGGTCTTCAGAAAGCAGTGACTGAGATTATTATTAGTCATTATTATTAGTCAATCTGGTTCAGGTCATCACAGGTCAGTACTTCTAACAACAATCAAAAACTAATTGGAATACAGGTCCCCATGTGCTTCATTCAAGAAACAACACTGAACAAGAAAGCCGCTTTATTCTGCAGCTTAAATTTCTACCACATAATTTAACAAATTCTAAGAATCATTAAGCAATGTACTGACCTGTAAATAAAAAAAAAAGAACGGATACTTCTAGCAAAGCTTCAATTCACATGAAAGGTATGCCTTTACTCATAGACTTCTTTGCACGTGCTGCTATACTTAATTTTCTCTCCCTAGTGCATTCTGTGAGAGCTGCTCTAACTTCTGTATGTAGAGAGCAGGGCATGAAATGGCTTTACCTTACACCTTCCTGACCATCAGCAACAACTCCATATTCTGCCAATAACATCCATAATGTTGGGAAGCCCTGTTTTGACTTATCCTGATCCTCAAGATCTTTCTACTACTCCACTTCCCCTCATCAAATTAGATATCATACTCAACCACCAGTATAGAAGTCCTGACTACACCCTATGAAGATCTCTCACTTGCTTTTCACCACAGATTCCTATTCCTGTGATGCTCCCCCCTCCAATTACTGTCTCTTTTGGTAATTTACAAGATTGCCTTAGTGTAATGTATAGCAGAAATTGTGAGCTACCGATTTCTTTTAAGGTAATGACTACCACTCAGGAAATATAAGCCCTGGTCTAGTGGAAGGTGAACCTGTCCATGGCAGGGGGGCTGAACTAGATGCAAGGTCCCTTCCAACTCAAACCATTCTATGATTCTATGATTCTAAGATTCTACAAATATTAGAGGCAGCTCAAAACTTTTCACAGTGATCTCACTGCCATCTTACTCGTGAATCATCTTGAATACTTTTGAGTTGCAAGAATGGAACATTCACATTTTTTCACAGTCACACTTCAAGTAGAGGACACAGATTTGATTCTCCCTTGTTCTAAACTTTTAAGTAAATATGACAAGATTGTTCTGATTTGGTATTAATTTGGTGTTTGTCATGCTAAAATATAAACACTGCAGCAACAGATAAAGTTTCTTTTTATCTTTGGGTAGACTTGAGGAGGTCAGAAGGATTTCAGTGCATTCTATTGAACATACTTAGAATTCAGTAAATGAAGAAACAAAAGGAAAGTTTTCCCTCTCCTAGGCAGCACTACAAATAAGTATTTGAAAGTATCTTCTTCTTGAAGGAAATTCCTAAAAGATGTTGACAGTAAGGCCTATAAGCTGCATTTTAAGAGTACATGTTCTGGCAATAACTTCACACATTTCTGAGATGTTTAATGATGGTTAAGCCTCTGGCACCAAGGAGGCTTAGAAGCTACAATGCCTATGTATTGAGGTGAAAAGAAATCGAAAAAGATGAAGCATTCTGGAACAGTTTCACTCTACCACAGACATTAGCAGTTTTGAACAGGTATTACAGGTTGAACATGTACCATATTTTGTTGGATGCTCAGAGTTCAGACAAAACATCACCCATTACACAGACACAGTTGTGCCTGTAACTGTTGAAGACAGTCTGGAATATTTCCAATGGGAGAAGGCTTGAGTCATCATATGTCTGACGACAAAGGTCTTACAAGACTTGTTGATTACACGAGAAATGTTTGCTGAATCAGTTGAGATTCCAAGGTTGAGAAGGTTTGTTCTACAAAATGCTGTCAATGTAGTAAATCATACAATGATCTTCAGAAATGATCTTTGGGAATGAATGGCATTTCAGAATATTCTTTTAGAACACAGAAATAAGTAGGCAGCTTTTGAGTCTAAACCTAAGGCTGCGCGAGAAAAAAATTGTGATTTTCTGTAGTTGATCTTCCATAGTATCAGTAAAAGAACTTTGTGCAATCTCTCTCTATATGACAGGTGTATGTAAAACTTGTGAGACAAAAAGAGATTCTCCACTGATTTGGGAAGCTCATTGTATCATTACTGAATAGCAAATACCGATGGTCAACCAGGTAACACCAAATGTAGCTGAGAAGCAGGTAACATCAATAGAAAATAAAGCCTCTACAGAGAACAAATGCACGCATCAACAATATCTCCACAGTCTTTCAGTAACAGTCATCCTGACGACCCATGATAATCCTGGGACTGTTTCTCTATATTAATTAGTTTTCCTACTCATTCCTAGGGGTAGATGTCACTGTGTATGGAAGAACTTTTATTAACTGCTGTAGAAATCTGTAAACACCTTTTTTCTGTGACTCTTCACTAATTTCTTAACAAATCCTTTATAATGCAAGCAACTAGAAAATGCATTGCCTTGACAGTGACTTGGCCTTCTTAAAAATGTGAAGTTTCAAAACCAGTTCTTGTTTGTTTACCTCTGGAATGGCTTCACTTGCTCATTGTGCATTAGTAACTTGGGTAGCTAACAAATAAGCTTCTGTCCAGGAGACAGCACACATCACTGACATCTCCATCTTACGGCTTTTGTCTGCATACTTTTCTAATCACATCACAGTACCTGCATCTCATTTAAGCATTCATGATACTTCCTCTGATCATCTCCAAGCTTCTTCAGAGAAAAGACCACTTGCCTTTCAAAGCTGATGCACCAAAGTCACATCATTGATCACATTCTTTGTTGTGACCCGCATATTTAAAAACCAACTATTAAGCTTACCAGCAACTTAGGATTCACATATCTTACAGAATTTAAAGAACTACTTTGCACAAAAACAACTTCCCAAGGGTCACTCAAAACAGTATCTTCATATTCCTTTAACTGCCTTGCAGGTAAAGATTGCCAGATGTTGACAGAAAGTCTTTCACCCATTCTACATCCTCTTTTGTAAGAAGTATCACTCCCTATGCATGAAAGCTGGAAAAAACTGCTAGTGAATAAACAAAGACTAATGTCTAATACTTGATTCATAGCCCACTGGAGACAAACTTCAGAAACATTCCAGTGCTACACCTTTTTAAATGCATAGCAAAGTGATCCTTGAGACTCCAGAACATTATTTAAGTGGGTACCAAATTGACGTACAAACCTGGACACAGCATTCCAGACTTTTTACTGGAAAAGTTTTTGGAAATAGAGGCTTTAAGCAATGCATATATGTCACATGTGGATTATTAGACATCACATCTGAGTAATTATACTGTATATAAGTTCCTAAAGGCAGAAACTGCAGAAGGAGGAAAGAACCAGAGCATTCACATTGCATTCATACTGACGTTAGTCTGTTGGAAAAGCTAAGAACCTGGTGATGACAGAACCCAAGGAACACACTACTGTCAAAAGATTTTAAGAGACTACAGTTACAATGTGTAAATGTGTCTCATTTTTAAATTTAATATGATCTTATTTACACTTTCACATAAATGGAATGTTTTCATGAAAATGAGATCAGACAAATTCACCCTGGACCTCTGGCTAAACCAGTCTCAGAATTGGTAGTAATCATCTTGAGAATTTGTGCCTCCAGCAGGCTCAAAAAGGGAAAACCAGTCTCTTCAAAAGGATGGTAAAGGACTGCCCAGAGTATTATACATAGTCTGTATGATTTCTCTGTAAAGACTGAGGTAATAGGTAGTATTCCAAGTGAATTTGTTAAGAGTAAGTACCACAAAATCAAGATAATTTTATTCTATTAAGCAGTAAGTCTTGTGGATTAAAGAGAAATGAGTGCCATATCCGGACTTTAGCATGTCTTTCTATATAGCTTCTCAGAACAATTTTACTAACAAGTTGAGGAAATATGATCTAGACAAAAATACTGTAAGACTGCAGTATACCCTATTGCAAAACTGTGTTCATAGACTATCAATTTTTCTTGGTAAAAATGGATGAAGGGAGTATAGGTGAACAAGTGCAGCTTTCCAGAGCGCTGTCTTAAAAGTTTAAAATGTTTGTCACTAATGACTTCTTGTGTAACAATTATAGAGAATTTTATTAATTTAAAGATCATAGCAGCTTTTCGTGTTAAGTCTTTGAGAAACTGCTTTTAAAATCAGAATAAAAATTTACGATTTGTTTGACTCATTTGAACAACCTTTTAAAACAAAAGAAATTCAGTGAGAAGTAGCACAAACTTTTTATTCATCTGAGAAAAAGCAATTATAACAACATGACAGGAAGGTAGATAAGCTCTACAGAAAGACAGCAATATGTTTAAACCAACTTGCAATATGAATCTAAGTTATCAGCAAAGAGCAGCTACACTCTTACATACAACAGTAGTATCCTACAAAGCTGTCTATGGTAGTTTTCTGACTACTCATCCTTCTAAGTCTTCAGATAGAGTTGTATCTACAGTTTAGGACAGTACAACATCAAGACAAATGCAGACCAATTAGAATTCAGATAAAAGCAAAGACAATTAGAAGCTCAGAAATTATGACTAATGTCAAGATGATAGAAGGAAATGGTGGTGTTCAGTCTGTAGAAGATTAGATTAATGCAAGACATGACAATGTTCTTTGATATGTAAATGACTGCTATAAAAAAAGGACGTGAATTGTTTTTCCCTGACCAGTGGAATGAGGTCAAGAAGTGTCATGCCTAACCGCAACAAAAATTATTCAGGCAAAGCCTTAAGAGTGAAGCATTCTAGCACTAAGGATTTAAAGAGGTTGCAAGCAAGAGTAAGGAAACTCCATTACTGACATTTTGACCAAAAAAAAAAAAAAAAAAGATGGAATTCATTGAGAGTGATATTGGTACAGCTCATCCAACATGAGGGTAAGAAGATGGGAAGCCCCAAGTCCTTTCCTGCTGTATTTTCTAAAATCACAGAATGTTCCTCTGGAAACCGTCCCAAGTTTTGAACTAGATATAAAGAAATTATTACTTATTTTGATTAACAGACAATGTTGACATTCATTTTCAAAGAATGAACGAACTTTTTAAAATCCAAATTTGAAGGGATAGCATACGAGATGGACAAAAAAGAACATGCTTTTGGGAAACAAAACTCTTTCAAGGGAAGAGGCCCACCACTTTCTCCAGAGCTTCAAATGCCTCGTGAAAAACTCTGCTTTGGCTGTCCTAGCTTAGAACTGATGTACTCAGAAGCCTCCTTGCATAAAAAATTAAGACTTGAAGAAAGAAACAAGAACGAATGTTTATTTTAGCCCTGTCAGAAAAAAATCTTTGCATAAATTTCTTGAGGGAATAAAATTTATTTCTGGAAAAGTGTGTAAAATTACATAGTTTCATAAGGGTTGTTGCTAGTCCTTACAGATGTTTTCCCGGGAAGTGTAGGAAACTGTATGGAAACAGGACTGTAAATGATACGAACTCTCCTCTTTGGAAAGCAATGGACTCAAGTCATTGTGGAAGGCCTTCCCTTATATAGATCTTCAGAAGTCATCTTAAAAAAATGCTTTTCTGAGGTTCCAGAGCAGTGAGAAAGTAGAACAAATGGATAAAGGGTTTTGATGAATAATCCATCTTGGGTATTGGAACCTACAGAAATTTTTATGAGATCAACAATAGGAAAATACTCCAAGTTAATTCTTCACAGATATGAATTTTTTAAGAAAGTAGATGTGGTAACAGATGATAGCACGAAAGCAGAGCCATTATTCTGTTTGCATAGTTAAAAATATAAAATTTAGATTAAAAAGAAAGGATGAAGACCAGCCTACAACTTCTGGATAAAACTTCAGCTGCTCTGGTATCTTTACTGGAGCAGAAGTGAAGCAAAGATTTTTGTAACACAGAAATTTTACTCCACTGAGTAACTGAATAACCAACGAATAAATCAAATATTACCTCTGCCATCTCTCAAATATTTGCCTGAGTTGCAAACAAAACTTCTTCCTCATTCAGATTCTGTCAATCAGACAGCAATGTTCAGTCTTAAAGTAATACAAGACTGTGCAATCACCTTATCCAAGTCTCCGGAATTCCTTCCTACTTCCACGTCAGAAGTACAGAAATTCAGTCTGTAACTCTACCTTCAGTTAACTGCCTGAAGTTTCAATGTTATATGAGAAAGCTTAGATACTATCCTTCCTGAGATCTCTTTCTAGATTGATGATGTCCAGAGCTATTCTTTTTGTCCTCCCAAACAAACACTTAAGTATTTTGCTAATTTTCTCTATCAAAGTTTGCAACCCGTCAACCAAACTTTCAAGTGCTAATGAGAGTAGCAACAAATATCTCAGCATAAATATTTGCTGTTTGTTCATCACTGGAAAATTCATCAGCACAACTTTCACTCCAGACCATAGGCCAAAAACTTACTGTCAGGGATCCCATGTTTTAAACGTCACTGTAATTATCCATGTCTTCCACACGTTTCTAAAATACGAGATTAGGCTAAGTAAATGTCTGCAAGATTCTTGCAGCATCAAGAACTGATTCTTTCAGTCAGGGTTCATTAATCTCTTCAAGAAGACAAAATGGTAGCACCATTAGTAACAGTACTTCAGTTGTGTGCTTTATGAATAGGAAAAGTAAAACTAACATACTGGTAAATAAATTAAAAAGCTCCTCTTGCTCTTTTTCAGCCTCTCTAATGCTGAACCATTACAACCTCAACCTCAATCAGATCATTTTCAGAAATCATCTGAAAAGGTACCCCTTCAAAGCAGGGGTCCGAGATAGCCAATTGAAACAACAGCAACTTTAAACAAAAAAATAATTCAAATACTCTTCTGTCTGAGTGGTAATGATGTATCTGAGTGGAAGTAGCTTAGATTCACAATGTTGTTAAACTGATAAGCTCAACAAAGAGAAAAACAACCAGATTTAGTCTTCACCATTTACACAAGTCTTACAAGTCCTTTAGCACAAGACCTCCTGAAATTCTGATGCTGCTGGCATGCTATACACATACTTCTCACTTGCCACATGATCCACACTTCTATCACTGTTTAACACAGTATATGCCTACAGAAGATGAACGACAGAGATCATTTAGTAGTCACAGGATCATAGGATAATTCAGTTCAGAAGGGAACTCAGGAGGTCTTCAGTCTATGCAGGGCTTTTTACTCAGCCTGATCTTTAAAACCTTCACAAATAAATAATGCACAGATTCTCCGGGCAACCTTTTCCAATGCTTGACTGTCCTGATAGTGAAAAAGTTTCTTCCTTAGACGTAGCTAGAACCTCCCATTTCAATTTCAGTCCATTGTATCTCATCCTTCCTCCACAATACTGAAAAGGCTGACTCAAATCTTCCTGATAATATCCTCACAGGTACAGGAAAGGCTGCTCTAAGGTCCACCCCTGCCAAAGACATCTCTTAACCAGGCTGCAAAAGGCCAATATCTTCACCTTCTCTGGAATGTCCCCCATCTCCTGTTCTCATTTCTTCACCTAGGCCGACCATCCAGAAAGACTTAATTTTGTTTCAGGGCTAAAGAGAAGAAAGCACTGTTGCATCTTTCTACTATTGCTATGTAAATATATATGCACTGAAAGCGTAAATTAGCAAGATTATGCCCAAACCCCTACCTTGCTAAGTCTCATGTATCTCAGTCATTGCTTCTTAGGGTTAATATTAAAAACAGCAGTATGCATTCCAGATTTTAGCACAAAGATTTATTTTGAGCTGATTTTTTTCTGTTCCCTCTCAACTGACTAAGAGTTCACCCTATTCCTTCTCCACAGCTACGGTATTCAGGGTTCATTTATGCTATATGTATCAAGTTCACTGAACTGCTTTAATTTCATGTTCTTAAAATTTCATGATTGAAATTAAGACAAGCGTTGCATGTTGAGCTGGTTAAGAGTTCAATACTCGTAATGCTGCCTTTAAATCATTTCTTACGTAGAGCAACTGAAACCATTCTTACAAAGAATTTATTCCCCATATTGCAAAGGATTTTAAATCCTTCTGTCCTCCACAAATTTGAGCTTTATATTGAAGGATCATTAGTCAATTTTGTGACCTTCAGAAATTCCTTCTGGATCAGAGCTCAAAATAATTTTGTATTTGAAATATAATGACATACTCTGGTACTATTTGAACACAGAAGCCAGGAGGAATAACTAAATAAGCACTCTGTTCTTTAAAATTGGGAAAAAATACATTGATATATATGAGTATTAGACTACCTTTAAGCGTTCCATCACTTCCAGCTGGAGAGCAGACTGACTGTGGTGACCTCAAGGAAAAAGATGCAGCATTCCTTATTGAAGGATCGCCATCCTAAAGTGACAATGATAAAAAATTAACATTATGAACATGAACACTGGATAAAGGCTGAAATTAGTACATACACTGATAAAACGGATTGGACAAAAAAGCATACAAGAAATATTAGAAAAATATTTATTTACATTAAAATCTTTGGAATTTAGACTACTATTAGACTACGATATAGGCAATATTCCAAAGCACAATCAGTCCTATGAAGAATCTATAACCAGAACATGCACACAAAAATAAATCTATGTACATGTCTTCTAGCTAAATAAGGACATTTGTTTTACACTGATTCCATTTAGAACTTGTTTTTACAAGCACTCATAGTAAAGAGCTGAAAATCAGATACATGATCGCTATAGAATACTAACTGAAAGAAACAGAGCAATAAAATGTATATTTTAAAAACAAACTCACCATTTTTTCATTTAACCTACCCTTAAGCTTATCTAGAAAGCCATCTTACTTATACAGTTAAACAAATTAACATTTGGTATTTATATACTCCAGCATACACACATCAGAACTGAACAAAATTTCTAGCACTCCCATTGCAGCAACTGAAATAGTGTCATGTAGAACACAACTGGTGTGACTTCAGCTTGTTATTTGTCTGTTTTGACAGTTACATAGGAAACAACTCAATGGCAGTATGAAGCACTTCCCCAACATGGCAAACAAGTTCTACTGTCTTCTCAGTTTTGCACACAACAACCTGCTTCAACGGAATTCATAATTTCTGACAAACATTTCTATAACATAATATAATAAATTTTTGACCATATAACACAATATAATATAACACAATATAATATAATATAATATAATACAAATTCCAACGTAATGATGTCCATGCTCTACCTTTATGAATGTACATGTGTCTTTCTTACCCCCACATTATCTTAAGATTAAATACAAAATCCACTATTCAAATTCCAATTTCATGTTCTACGTGGGTTTTTTATTGCTTTCATGGAGCCCTCTGCTGTTCATGAGCATACTCCTTCACTCAGTGCCCTAACTAGAGCATCTAAAGAAGAGTATTTCCCATTTTTAGCACTGTTTTTTTATACAACATCTGCAGGAATGTTTTGCAAAAGAACAAACTAACAACCCCTGTATCTATGAAGAGACAATTTCTATAACTATAAACAAATTGCAAAATGTCTGTTCTTTTAAAGAGTAAAGTCATATAAACGAAGTGTCCAAAGAAGTTCTAAGGTTATTTAATGTTTCTTAATTAAACTGGTTATTTCAGTAGCTAATATTCTAACGTGGTTCCTCTATTGAGGCATCTGAATATCCACAGTTCTTTCATATAACTTTTTTTCCCCAAACCTGAATTATCTGTCTGATAAATACTTTTATCCTTTTGACCAATTTCAACCCAGTAAACAGAATGTTAGAAGGTTCAACTGTATTTACATTTTTACATGTCTGTATGAAAAAAACCACAGCAGCTGGTAGGAATTTAGAAAGCTAAATTGGCATTTAGGAGATAGAAGCCTGCATAGATGGGCAAGTACACAATCCCTCTGACAATGGCCAAACAGCCTATTTCCACATGCATAGCTGAAGATTAGACAGTGTGCATGGTACGCTTCATGAAGGCATCATTGACACTGCTTAGGGAAAAGGAAAGAGTTTTAAATTTATGGACTGAAAGTGCTTACAAGTCGAAGAATATAAATCTGTAAGAAACCAGATTTCCTGAGTTTCACCATCCATGGGTACCTAGAAAACATCTAAGAGATTTTTTTTTCTTCCCACAGTACAATGAATCTAAAACTCACACTGTGCTATTAATCATACTTACTTTTGCAACAGTGCTTGCAAAAAAAGTTGTTGCCTCATATGAGGAAAGCTTCATATGCAGAGAAATCTAGTATTCAGATTCGATCTAATAAAAAGAACTGTATCTCGAACTTATATGTTGTTATTTTAAGTCAAAGTGAATTAAATAGGCAACTCATCAGGAAATTGTCTACTACATTGAAATTGTGGATCTGATTCTTTTCAAACTTGACTTATCTTTGACTTGTAATAAATCTCAGAAAACCACCCTGAATATTGAAAAAAACTGCTTAGTAACTTTTTAACACATATGTTTTATTAGAACAGGAGAGATCCTCTACCCATCACTTGCCAAGGACATAGGCAAAGGCACCTTTTATTAAATTAACTAAAAAGACTAACTAGATAGCTGACCTTTTGGGTACACATGTCATTCCTACCATAGCTGACAAATTTTAAGAAGTGCTTATTTACAGTTTCCTAGTTCAGAGCTTCAACAAAAGGTGGTATGTAAGCACAAACTCATATTCCAGGAATGCTCTCAAGTTTACTAAAAATCAGCCTTACATTGTATGCACATGTGTATGCACATGAGCCTTCAAGGGTGTAGCCACTGATTTTGTAGAATCATATACTGCAAATACAGAATAACCCATAACTATTCACATTTTTTAAAGCAATAGAATACTAAAACTAGGGAAAAGAATAAAAAATAAAAGTTTTTCAGTTTTATGATTTAATAATCCTAATTCATAACTATTTTTGCCAAATGTCACACTGCTGCTGAAAGGGCGGTAACATTATGATTAAGCCTATTACTCATATGTAGATGCAAAACTTTAATTAATCCAAATTCTTCAAACTGTTTTCTGCATGATAGCTACTACAATCAGCATTTATAGGTATAATTACAAACAAAATAAATGTAACACATATGCTCCATTAAGAAAATGCACAAAGGGATAAAAGTGCAACGTTTACTACTTTTAATATTTAATATTTCTCCAATTAAACCAATCAATGAGGGTATGCTTTACATTTTCATAGTCTCTCCATTTTGAAGGAGTTTCATTTCTAAGTTTTCATGAACTAGGTTGCGGTTGCATTGCCTGAATCACAAAATTAGGGATGAATATTTTAAAATACTTAATTTTTTTAAATTATAAAATAAGTTATCCTAATATTAATGTTTAAAAAAAATTCTGTCTTAACAAAACCAAGATTCTCTTGATAGTGCACCTTTAACACATTTGGGGGATATATGTACATTTAATGCCAAGAACAGCTTCCTCTTTTGAAGAATTTGCATTACTGAAGCAGAGACTGAGAAAAACATTTGATGATTACTATGCTAGATTCCTTCACTACAACACTCTCTTGTTTAAGACACTACTTCTAAGCTAGTATTTTAAATCAGCGTAATTCTTGCATTTTAAAGAAAAGGCAACTAATAAAACTAGTAATTCTTTTGGAGTTCTAATGTATTAATCCTGGGGGGTTTAGGGAACCTGGTGTTAATAGTACACTTGCTGAATACAACACTTTTTTGCTTCCACAGGTTAGTTTAGGAATACAAGAGTTGCCCATGGGTTTTTGGAAGCTAAATAAAACACTGCTTGCCACCAGGTTTTGATGAAAAAAATAAAATTGAAACTTAAGTGCTCTTCCTTTACAAGCTGTTAAAAGACTGTGTGCCAAACTTGTGAAGAATCCGAACAAGCTTCATTCACAGGATGAAATCCTCATTAAGAAGAAAATAAATCAGTATTCAAAAGAAATGTGGGAGAAAGTTGGATTTTTTTCCTTTAGATTCAAGGTTTCAGAAGTAATTTCTCCCACATGAAATAAAGTCACTAGGGGAAAAATCTTACAAAGAACACATGCCATAAAAGCACGTAACAGATCAGTAAGAAAAAATGTCCATAGGAATTCTTGCCTTTGATAACACTACTACATTACCCAATAGGTTATTCAAATATGTGATGTCTAATTGACAGTTGCAGGAATCTTCAAAGAGACAAGTTAACTAAACACTTATTTAGAATATAGTATTGTTTGCATCAACATATTGTTACAGTAATTGGAGAGATACTCTACCATTTCTTTAAAATAAACTCACATATGAGATTATGTGAAATTTTGTACTTTTCCTAATTTCATCAGAATCAATGTTACAAACGGTTCCAAAGGAAAGAGAGATCTAGAAAAAATTAAATCAACATTAAAGCCCCGTGGTTGAGTGTACACATCTGAAATGGAAACATTTTCAGTGGTTTCATACCTCAACAACAACATAATAAAATATCAAACTTCTAAGGCAGCTAAACACATGCTTGCTTTATCATAGTAAACATTTGCTTTATCATAACAAACTCATTTAGGTAACATACATCACTACTCAGTCTGTGCACCATCTGTAGGTAGTCTTCATTTGAGCCATGTCTAGAATTATCAGCATGATGATTAGCTGAATTTCCAGACAACTGACTTGAAACTTTATTTTCATGGAGATTCCTCATCCCAGCTGTGACAATGGGACTGGATACTGAAGCTGAAATACAAAAAATATAAGTTAGTATACTGATATATTGACACATTTGTTCAGTCTTAAAAAGTTTCAGAGAAAACACCACAGTGGACATTAATGAGCTGCATGCAAAAGGTCTGGAATCTGAACAAGAATCCAGCTTTTTGATTGAATCGTTTCGCCACAAATACCTTGAATAAAATTATATATCCAAGATTTTTATTTTCAAGAGAATTTAAAACCTAAATTCCATGTACAGAATAGGCAAATTTCTCTCAAATTTCTGGACTAATTACAGGCAGTACCACATTCTTACTGGTAATAGAAAACTTTGCTTTCCTCTACATAATTTACATTGACTACCTTTAATAACTTCCAAGGTATTCATGAGACATCAGCATTACACCCAGAACAGCTATATAGATTCTAAGCACAATGCTAAACTTTAAGAACAAATTATTTAAAAGAAGCCAATAAGAATTCTACTTATGAACAAAAAAATGCCTAGATACTGTAACAGTGTTCATGTTGCTCAAGATTGTTTTTAGAAAAGGGAAGAACAAAGAAATTCATTAATTCTGAAGGCCATTTTTGCCAGTTACCGCAGACCCTGAGCATAATTCTAGCCAACTTAGAATTAATCTAGTCGACACTACAAAGGTTTGTAAGGCTAAATAAGCTGGCAAAAAAACGTTACACTGGCAAAAATGAGGTTTTCGCTAGCACAGATAAATGATGGCCATAGCTAAAAAATAAATATTTTTGTTTCAATTTTCTCTATTGTCATGTATACATGGCAAGTATCAAAATGGGTGCACAGAGGGGAGCAACGCAACATGAACACGTGTTTTACTCTTCTTCCTTTTTTTATTTTTCCTTTTTTTTTTAATAAAGTATATACTACCACTTTGTACAGTTTGGAAAGCAAAGCTTGAACATACCTGCCAACTCAAAGATTTGCATTAAGCACGTGACTCCTTCAAATAAGTTATGAAACTGTGAAATATGCACATGAAGGTATAGCTTACGTGAGATAGGAGAATAAAACATTACAGACTTACCTTGTTGCATCTGAGGATGTGGTGTATAACTTGGAGGATGTGAATATGGCATGTATCCTGCAGGGCTTTGAGGAGCATATGGACTAGGCACTGGACTGTTCTGTTGTGCCAAAAATCTGTTACCAGAGCTTGTCTGTGGTGGCACAAAACGGCTAAAAAAAATAAAAATGTAACAGTTCAAAAAGCAAATTTAGACAAATTTATTATTCTTTTGGAATATTATACATTCAGAATATTACAATTTCTTTAAGACACAAAATTCCAACACAATCAAGAATCTCCCTTAAAAGCAGTCTTTTAAGCTAACAATACCTTCCCAATTTCAATCATTACTTAAGAGTCACAGCTTAGGTACTGCATTAGTAAAAAGTAAAGCATAGAATAAAAAGCGTTCATAAGATCTCCACCTAGGGAAAGGAAACAATGACACAAATATGTACTAAAATAAGTTAGTTCTAGAAGCTTGAATGAAAGTGACAGCTAAATTTTAATTAACAACTAGGATTAACAAGGAGCTATGTACTCTAAATATGATTCTCCCAGTAAGATTTCAAAAACCTTCATCTAACAGAACTATATTGCCAAGATATAGGAATGTGATAGGCAGTTAGGCAAGACGTGACCCAAAGTCCACTGAATACAACTTATTCTTTCACTGGCTTTATCTTAAACTGTTCCTACAGATAGAAAGCCATAAGAATAACATAGGCTTGTGACAATAATACATACACATTATAACTTACATTCTTACATTAAATTTTTAAAATAAAAAGAAACCAAACAAATACTTCAGAAAGTATGTTACATGCTTCCACAACCCTTAGTTCTAGGTATCAACTCTATGAAGGTAAGCTTCCATAGAAAGAAATACCAAAGTATTTACCACAAGGATTTTGCAAGGATCTTGAGAAGACTTTATAATATTCATTGTAATACTCAGAATTCAGAAAACCTTCTTCAACATCCCTTTCAGGTATAGAAGTAAAAACATGTAGTTTTTTTGTGCACATACAGAGCATTTCATTTGCCAAAACAATTACAATAACTTGAAGTGAAATGTGAAATTGAATTATTTTAATAATGATATCTAATGATGAAATCTGTTAAAGCCCAGTAACTGGGTTGAAACTACATGCAGAACTCTTTCCTCTAGTCCAGATTACTTTATTATATTGATAAATGTCTGGGTTATAGATACATGCTACTTGCCAACACTCAGAAGTTTAAAAAAGAATCAGAAAGCTGACGAGGATGCTGCTGGAAGACTGGCCAAACTAATGGGCCCATCCTCCTGTCAGTGGCCTTTTGTGTTAACTGTTACAGCAGTACTCCATGCTTTCACAAGCCTTCTTTCCCACTCTCCTATCACACTGGTACTATTACACATGCTGGAACACATTGGCCTTATCTCTCCTATCCTCCTCCCAGTAGTCTCAGCTGCTGCCACAGGCTGAAAACAGCTGGAGAGGTGGCAGGAGAAAGGGAGACTCCTTAAACAGGAAAGAAATTTTGCCAAAATTATGGGAGGGAAAGTGAGTAGAGAATCATGACTAATCCTTAGAATACGAGGATTCACTCACTGACAGAAAGGTGTTTCTTTGCCAAATCAAGAAACTCACCCTGCTGTCAGAAAAATACAAAGTTTGACACTGATCACCTTCCACTCACATACTTGCAACAAGAATTGACTGTCAACTGTAGGATGACTTTGCAGTTTGCTGCCCCTCTCACCCCATGTAAAAGAAAGCATTACCTGGAAGGGCTATGTGAGATAGTGGTTTGTTGATAATTGGAAGATGCAGGACTACCACGCATGGAATTCTGAGAAATATTAAACTGCGACATCATCATCCCTAATAAAAAGAAGACAGCAGCATTACTTTACACACATTTCCTTTTTAATCAATGAAGTCTCTCATTTCAGAAGTTACTATATACAAAGACATTAACATCATGTACCCATAACTGTCGGAAAACACTAGAAATGATCGATTCCACATAAGATGTCCATTTTACACCATGACATAAAAAAGTGTTCCCTAAAGCAGAGTTAATTCAGTTATAAATAGTAACAGTAGTACCTCCCTCTGTTCATTAGAGCTTCCCAAACCAAAACCTACTAGTAAATAGAAATATTTTATAACAGGACAAATATTCCACTCTGCAAGCTCTTGTGTACAGTACTCATTGTGCCAATAAGTAAAAGATTTGGAAACTTCACCAGTCAGAATATAGAAAACTTATGTCCCATTTTTAGAGCAAGTATAGCAAACAAACATCTTGCACTGAGTGTTGCAAGATATTCTCACCGTTCCCATAATGCCTTAGTGGTTCCTTTCTACCCAGGGACAAAAGCTTTCTGTTCCACCTCCAGTATGCTTACAAGGAATGTTATCACAGAAGATGCTGAAATATTTCAATTGCAAAGCAGAACCAATATCCCAATTGTAGGCTCCCACAGTCTGTAGAACCCCACAGTCAGGCTTCGGAAATTCCGGAGCTGTAGTAGCTGGCAAGTACAAATGTTCTTGAAACTAACGAATTTAAGAAGCATTTGCACAATGCCCTTAATTTGCTTGAACTTCAGTCACCTGAAGTGGTTAGACAGTTGGACTAGATGATCATTGTAGGTCCTTTCCAAGTGAAATATTTAATTTTATTCTATTGTAACTTGTATCATTATCAGGGAGAATTTAAAAGAATCTTTCTTTTTTTTCCTCTCTTTGATACAGGTATAAAGAATTCCATAACAACAGCATGACACTGGAAGCCGAAGTGATACAGAAACACCAAAACTTAAACGAATTTTAAGTTACTTTAATTACACAATTGAATGTCTTGCAGCTAAATCAGTGTCAGAATTCACATGCACATACATGATCCACAGCTGTGGGTAAAAAGCACATCAGTAGTACAAATATTTTAAACCAAAGGTTAGACAGAAGGCTGACACAAGTCCCCAATCCAGAGTGTTTGAGAGCTGTCAATCCTTCAATTGGTATCACCGATTTCAATTACTACAATATTCACACAAGCAAAGCTAGTTTCAGGAATCCTTCCTGTCACCCTCTTTTGTCTTCCACTCTCCGCAGCAGAGAGATGTGATAATCCCACAAGAATGCAGCCGTTACTATCTCCCTGTAGGTGTGAAGTCCTGCATTTCAAGTACATTAGCACAGGCAAACTAGCCCAAAGCAGGAGTGAAAGTCCCGTGTTACGGTGAAAAAACATCAGAGACCTCCATACTTCAATGCAGAGGAATTCATTGTCCCGAGTAACAGAAGCAGACACCCAACTCCTGCAAAATTTCTTTCAATGGACACTGGCTCTGTTGCACAGAGGAAAGTCAGGAGGAAACTCCAGGAGTTTTGTGTTGGAGGCAGTGCCTGGCACGCCCACTGCCTGCTCACCTCATTGCCACTCTCAACGCAGCTAGGTACAGTATTTTAGTCAAACTACTAACCCTTAACATTCATGTACAGAAAGCTGGCAGAATGTACCTGTACGAGCCTGAACTATACAAAGTTTCACTTAAAGCACAGACTGCACTTTAAAAAATATATCTATTTATTTTCTCCTCCCTAAATTTAAAACACATTTTGAACCACTGATGTGATAGGTTTTGGTTTAAAAGAATGACAGAAAATATATAAATGAATCTATTCTCAATGCCATTTAAAAAAACCCTAAAACTTATTCTGTGATGGGCAGCTCTCACTTCTGTCTCTCTGTTGAGTGGGGGCAGGACATGTGAGGCACAACCTAGGTAACAAGAAAAAATCCCAAAACAAAAACAAAACAAAAAAACACCAACAACCAACCACCACCACCAAAAAAGTGTCTCTGAAGTTTCCAGACAGAGAACAAGTATGCCCAATAATGTTGTAAGGAGAAAGAAGGAAAAATGAGTCCCAAACATTTAGTTGGGACAAAATATCTTCTCGTACATTTTTTACATTGTTGTCACATCACTAAGCAGCAGATGTATGGCATTTCCATACTTTTAATGCAACCTTCCGTTTTAAATGCAACCTTAATTTTGACTGTTGGTAATGTTCAGGTGTGAGGAAACATTGTCCCAGTACTCGCATTACTGGAATGTGTTTCCTTAACACATAGTCCCAGTCTTGACTACAATATTTTGCTTGGAAAAAAGTGACATGCATAAATCTATTTTAGCATTTCTAAATGCCAAAGAATGCACTACTAAAAACTCAGCTCAAGGTCACAGAAAAAGTCTTGTATGATAAAACTGTATTACAGTATCATGCATGCTTAAGCTGGGACTGCTTGCCAACAGGTGATTTTTCAGTTAAATATACACTCTTATCGAAAATGTACGTCTGCAGTTATTGCTCTTAGTGTTGAACTGCTGCAGTGTTGAACTCGGGAGAAAACATCAACACAGAATTCTGCTTGTGCTTTACCTTACATCCACAAGAATTCAAAACATAGTATTTAGCTTTCTGAAGATGTTTTTATTTCCTGACAAACTGTACTGAACCAAGAATTTTACTGTGTTTAATGTAATGCTTTAGCCAGGTGATCCTCCTGTTCTTGCATTGGAAATGAAGGCTAGGAGCAATCAGAGTTCACTTTGTCCATATGTCCTGGTTTGAGCTAAACCAGAAGTAATTCTGTTCAGCGATTTTACTTTTCAGTTAAGTCTCTTCTAAGTAACTGCACTTCCTGAAAAAATGCAGAATGTTTTTCCAGACAGTGACTGTTTCTAGCAGTGATAACGCTTGATTTTTATACTTAATACCAAGAAATGCTATGCAGAAAGGCTCTTGCTTATACCTGCTCCTGTAAGCAACCAAGGTCACTGCTACATTCTGTATCCCATGCTGAGGTGCTGGAAGTGAAAAAGGGTCAGAGCAAAGTGAAAGGTCACACCTGCAGGGAGGAGCGAGCCAGACAGATGACCCAAAACTGACCAACTAAGTATTCCATCCCATATACATCATATCCAGTATAAAGCTGAGGGATCATGAGGGTTAAGTTGTTCTTCTTTGATGCCCAACATCCAAGGAGGACTGAGTCTTCTTCCATCTGCAATCCTGATCCGTGCATTCCTGAATCCAGCTCCTGCATCCTGTCTGCTGCGGAGTCCAGCCTGGGACTGCCCCAGTGCCACCAGTGCCAGCCCTGCAGCTTTAGTGGTGACGTATTGTCATCAGGGGGGTTGGGTTAGGTATTGGTTTTGTGTATATTTGTATATACTTTATTATTTTCTTCTTAATATTATTTAACTTATTATTGTTGTTGTTTCATTAAAGCTATTTTAGTTTTCTTTTCCAATCTCTCCTTCATTCTCTCTCCCTTTTCCTTCTGGGGAGGAAGAGGGGTCAACAGAGAGCATCTGTCATTCATTATGGCCGGCCCAGCCCTAACCCATGACACCACACTAATGCTGGAACTGTCACTCAAGTTTTCATGGGGCACAGACCCATCCCAGGCTGAGTTAAGAAACTGGGGGACCCACTGTCTAGGTTCCTTCTCATCTGTGATTATTACAAATAGTGGGTTACAGCACCCAGTGCTTCACTGCATGCTGGATGCAACAGAAGGTGGAAAGAAAGAAGACAGCAAAGAAAACTCCAATTCAAGCATATATTCTCTATGGGACACCACTCTGCAAACTAGCAGAACAGTTACAACTCTTCCCACAGCTGGAAACATCGTACTCTGCCACAGCTACCACTAAACATAGTAACTGGAGACTGTTTTCAGAGCTTAAATTTCAGGAGACATGTATCAATGACCTTAAAAATATTTACCATTGACTTTCACATTTTCATTCCAGGAAATTTCTGCCTTCTTTCAAGAAACATTACATGTTCTGTCCTTAGCAAGTTCTTTTCAAATATTGTATGGCTTTCTACTCACCAGCCTAGGTGAATGAACCTAATAATCAAATTCTATTATTTTTCCCCTCCAAAACCACCCTACACTTCCTATCCCCTGTGGAGTCCAGTAACACTTCTATCCGTATCTCTAAAGTGCTAGCAAAGCTTTATCCTCACACTGGGAAAACACTGGATATTCTCCTACCCATTTCATAGTTGCAATGAAACACTAAAGTACAGATTTTCAGTAAGAACAAGGCATTTTTCTTCCAACTTCAACTATTTACAAAGACAACTATATGAACCTAGCCATAAAGCAATGAAAATTATTTTAATATAAAATGCAATCACTCATCCTAGAGATTAAACTTTATAGTGAAATTAATTTTTTTTATTTTTTTTACAAAAATATCTTATAGAGTTTATTTCCGTGCTTATTCTAATACAATCACTCTTAGAAGACATCAAAGTACGTAGCTCTGTATCACTATCAAATACAAGGTAAGGCATAATTATCACAGTTGTGTTCCATATGTATTTGTGGTTTAGTGGTTAGTATCAGTCCCCTAAACCTACAGAACATAAAATGCAATCAATAAATAATAAAAAAATCCTTACCGCTTTGTACCCCGTATCTGTTTTGCATGCTTTTCTCCCTGAAAACATTAGGATTCCTTGCCAGGATAGCCTGCAGCAAGACCGGTATATCTCCCTCTGGATCATCACTGCCAAGGTTATCTTTCAACTCTCTGGAATTGTGGAAGTAAGCAAATAAAGAGGCAAATGCATTTTCAAATTATAAGAAACTATGAGTCAAGTAAAAAAAAAACCAAAAACAAAAAACCAAAAAAAAAACAAAACCAAAATGAAAGAAGACAATTTTCTGTTAAAATATAGAAAAAAACAAGTCTGCAAAGCACTGTTCCCTGCCACTATTTTATTTACTCTCTTCTTTATGAAACAGCAGAAGAGATGTGCCTACTAGTCTTCAAAATTATTTTCTGTTACTAAGCACTTACATATACACAGCTGTTCGATTCAGACTATTATAAAAAGTTTTTTATGCCCACTTTTATATTGTGATCTTCTCCATAGAAGCATGCTTTGGCTTAACATCAAGAAAGTATTATTGTAGTAGTAAAAATAACATATTCATGAATGTATTACGTTCAGGCAGCAGCCCAATGTTTGAGAATCTTTTATTTTAAAAACTGGCATAGCTTCGACATCACAGGATTCTTTCTGAACCATAAAAAAAAATGTAACAAATTTTCTATAAATGTATCCATGCTTTCACTTGTTGTTTGCTTTGATGACTTTTAAAAGCTATTTCCATTTGATCAAAACAATTGATTGGAACTTGTAAGAAAAAGACAGAGTTGTCAACATGAGACAATTCAGAGAACAGCACGGAAAAATTAAAAAAGAAAAGAAAAGAATTAACAAAAAGAGAATAGATTAGCATACTTCCTGGTTCAATTCTTGAAACAGTTACGTTCAATGCCTAATCAGAATTGACATGGGTCTTACATGGGTGTCTCAAAAAAATTTTCTTTTTATGTAATACTGGGTATACAACTCGTCAATGCACATTATTAAGCAAAGTGGAACACAAATGAGTATTGCGCAACCAACGCCACAAACAAAAAGTCTGCATTCCTAACTAGCAAGAATGGAATAAGCAGCAGATCTATAAAATACCCACCCCGAATTATGCATAAGTGCTGCCAGACAATTATTAATGTTGTGACTGAGTGAAACATTTGACTCTTATATAGCAGTCATCTGCTAAGCAAGCCTAATAAAAACCCTGCACATTCTAACTTCCAGATTCTCACAAACATCCTTCTCAACGAAGTTAATTTTGATTTCAAGGAATTAGGATGGCGATCTGATACAGTTGAAGTTCAAAATACATACATGTGATCTGTCGACACCTGATTGAGACTGTGGACAAGCTGTGAAACCAGATTTTCATCCCTGCAAGCCAGAAGGCAGTTCACCTCTTCAGCTATTCGTCCATTGAAAAGCAGGCTTTTTGTTGTTGTAGCAGGTAAAGGTGATGGAAGAGGCAGCTGATTCAAAACTGTGATCAGAAAACAGAAAGGAGTTCAGAATCATTTTATGAAACACAAGTATATAAATATGGACACCTTCTTACTCCCTCATGTGATTAAGAAAGAAAAATTGACAATTACATTTAAAATATAGGAAAGATTTCTGGATTTTTTTTATCATGAACACACACACACACACAAAGGCTGGACTGTGTTTTAAACAAAGTAATGCAGTCAAGTCCACAAGTTATATTACTATCTTATCGTAAATATTTTGCTGTGCTAAGGCAAGTATTTTGAAATAAAACATACTTCTAAACATTCCAGAATATTAAGTTATTTAATATGTTATGGCAGCTTTCTCTTGCAGCCAAAAGCATTGATGAAGAAGGAAATGCAAAATCCTTGTAGTTGCATGCAGCAGTGTAAGTGCATTGAGCACATACTTTTAAGTTTTCTACGCTGGCCTTCATATTTAAATTAGTGTTCCCACTTTGTATGGTCAGGCTAAACTGAAAAAAAAAAAACAAAGCCAAAAAACCCAACCCACCAAAAAAACCCAAACAACCCAACAAACAATTTAAGCCACTAATTAAATTCTCAGTTTGCTCTCCTCTTGCAGTATTTATTTCTATTTAAGTCATCTGCTCAAGAAAAGGCTAGTATCGTTGGTTGGTATGATCACTAAAATATCAATTCAGTCAATATACCTACGCACAAATCTTGGTAAAAAGATGTAATGAAAACACTCATCACAATATTTCAATCAGATTATAAATGAGCACACTGTACTTTCAGAGGGTATTCTTACATCTACAGACAGAACACAGAAATGTACCATATCAGAAGCCTTGACCAGATGATTGGCAGAGCTACACATACAAGAGAAGAGTAAGCCAGAAGAGGCCAAAAAGCTAGCAACGTAGAAAAGTCACTTTCATGGGTCCACGAAAACAAGCTGACTCTAACTCCAAGTTCCCAGGCTGATTACAGCTCTGAGATAAAGGTTTTAACTGAACCATTAGTATTAGCTTCAGAAAAAACATATGAAGTGAAATATACTCTTTTGGCTCTTTATATTTTGAAATTCATTATTAAAAACAAAAAAGGAAGTGGTGAATTCCAGTATTTTTCCCCCTATATAATGTATAGCATTACCGTATTTAGAAAGAAATTGCAACTCAAATACAAGTGTATATTATATTAAAATAGCTAGCTTTCATTACTTGCATCAGATTACCTTGAATGTGCCAGAAACTTGGAAAAATTAGCAAGATCAGCAAAACATATTTATTAAAACAGTATAAATTCAGCTTAACTAGCCTACACTGAATCTAGTCATCACGTCCTCCATGCTTTTAGGGCAACAAGTCTGGCCCATTCCAGTTCCTTCTTTTCACACGGAGAAAAAAATAAGGTGAAGCCTTTCTCTTTCAGCTGCTCCTGAGTTTCTAAACACCAGATAAATTCAACAGATAAAGAAGAAAATGCACCTGTCACAAGGGCTAATCCCACCAAATGTAGTTCAGTGTTTCAAGACACTCTTGCACCACGAGTCTGGTGAATGACTTCTACCAGTTCAGTATTTTGACTTTCTTTAGAACCTTACCTGCAAATACTTAATGCTGGAAAACTGCCCATAGCCCAGAATCTAATTATTTGCATTCTGATGGTCCATTATTAGACATATATAATGATACATTACATACACTTCTAAATACATAAGCAGCATATTCCAGTTTTATATTTCAGGAACATCAGAAGGATATGAAGAAGTCATTTTTCATGTGGCATTTTTCCTCCAGTACATCTGCTTTATTTACTGTAGGCAAATAAATTCAATTGCTGGACATAGACTTGCAATGTCTCTTGGAAAGTCTAAAAATTTCAACAGTATAATAGTAAAAACAAAGCTCAGAAGAAGCACCTGGGTCACTGAGTCCAATTATCCTCAGGCAAACAACTGAGCTATAAACTCTTTCTTAGACTTTATAAACAAGATGCATCTTTGTCCCCACTGCTCTCATTGCAATGGTTATTCCGGGACCTCATTATAGTAATAATAAATCTTCTCTTAGTTTTCATTAAAATTTATTTTTCATCACACTATAGCCATTTGGTTTTGTGTGAGTATCAGCTTTTAACGGAAATAGTTCTCTTCCTTCCCTTGTGTTTTATCTTCCTAACATATTTAAGGACAGCATGCACATCTTGTGCTCCTTTTGTAGGATGAACAGCTAAGAAAGAAGACTCGTAGTTTCAGCTGCTTATTTCCATTCTAGCAGCCATTCTTTGCACATATTAATTAGAGCAACTTTTTTGTGCCTTGTCCAAAACTAAGGAACTAGGTTTCATGTATAGGCGGCATATTCCACGACTCTTTTTAGCTAGTTGAGCATCAGTCTTATCCTCTCTCTCTCTCTTTTCAGTGAAGATGATGAGATGTATGTTTTAGATAAGTCTTTTATCATTTATATGTTTTTCTTTATTTGTGGAGTGGCCAGATATGCTACTGAATGATAATCCAACAATGAATTCTTGTATTTTGTTTCAGGCTTCCTTAAGCGATTTTTTTTTAACATTCATTTAATTTAATGTGTAAATTAGCATGGTTTATTTGAATATATTTTTAAAATTCAAGCAGCAACAAAATTAACATTTTTAATGCCAAACCTGGTTTGAACCGATTTACCTCTAAGAACTTTTAAAATAAAACTATTTTTAGTATTTTTGAAAGTGCAGGTATTTACCAAAGAAGTAGAAAATAGCACAGCAAAGACACGGGGGAAAAAAAAAAAAAAAAGAGTACTTACGGTCTGTAAGACTAGCAATCCCTGCAAGAGTAGTGATGGGAACATGAGGCATATCCCCATTCATCCTGAAGTTCTGGGAGAGTAGTGCCTACACCGGTATTTTAGTTCAGGTGCCAGCTATCATTACTTCCCATCTCCCAAGCACTAAAAAAAAAAAAAAAAAGAAAAAAAAAGAAATTAAAAAAAAGGAAAAAAAGAACAAAACCAAATGAAAATTCTTAGTTTATTTTTTAGAATTTTAAATTCAGTAACAGAAATGAAACAGTAAATTTTGTCAAGAATGGGTAGAACAGTGTAGATTTTAAATATCAAATATTAAGCAATCAAAAAGCAAGCTTCTGGTCTCAGAAGCAGAGCCCTTCACCAAAAAAGATGCAGGATAAAGCAATCAAAAGAAAATTTGCTCAGGTTATACAGTACCAACACAAAATTTGGTAACAAAATTTGTTAGTTCATACTGCAGTGGATAGCACTTAATGCATAACCAGTTTAAGTAATTAGCTGCTATATTCACTTCCCAGTTTTTCAGGAGGAGATATTTTTCATATAAGAAAAGGCTAACAAAAGCAAAAGGAATAATTTACAGATGCAAAAATCAAGGAGTAAACAAAGTAACAGATACAAAATCTTAGTATATTTTAAAAGTAGTAGCTATTTCAAAATTGGTTTGAAAGTATGTCTTTAATATTAAACATTGTCTGGTCAAACTACTACCAGAAACTGTATCAAACCTCCACAAAACCGAAAGATTCAGCCATCACTGAACTAGCTTATTTGTTTCCTGTAAAACAGCACAGTTTATATTCAACTACTGAAAAAGGAATTTGTTCACTCATTTTCCCCTAACTATAGAGATTCCAATGGTAATGAAGTCCACACTGATTTTTTTTTTTTAAAAAGTCATCACATAATTTCAACTGCAGTTCCAAACCAACAAAAATATACAAAGATCACATATCGCAATCTACTATTTTACTAATTAAATGATGAAAATTGAACATGGTATTTTCTTAAGATAAGAAATAAATTAAAGGAAAGGAATTTAATATATATGCAGTTACCTATTACAGACAGGCACCTGCATTGACAGTTTGTGAAATGGTAAAGACTTCTTCTGTAAGCATTTATGTTATTTACTGGAGATGCTGAAATCATGATTTGCTTACTTTACAGGCCAACATTTTTGAGAATTACATATACATCACATACAAATGAAATGACCACTGTAATTTCCTTTGTAATTTTTATCTCTTATGCCACACCAATGACAATATATAGGACACTACTGCTAATAAATATGTATAGATTCCAAGCAAGACAAGGAAACCTAATGTTGTCTTTCCTGCTCAAAGTTTTCATGAACGACTGAAGTTAACTTTTCAAAGTTTTCCTATCTACACACAACTGAATTCTTCAGGAAAAAAATACCAACACTGAGGTTAAACAGAACTGAAAATGAGTTGACTTCCTTTGCTGCACCTGCCACAGTCTCATTCTAACCACTAAATTACATTTGTTTATTAAAAATACAGTACATTACAGGTACTGAAATCTAGTTAAGGAAACTGCTACAGCTAGATATTCTTTGTGGGTTGTTGTGTTTGTTTTTTTTTGAATCCAGGAGAAAACAGCTTTCAAACACCCAGAGCAGTTTCAAATAGTACTCAAAACCCGAGGTTTTCTACCTGAAATGAATACCAATATACACAGAATTTCAGTGTTTTCTTAGTTCCATAAACAAGCAATTCTTAAAAAAAGAGAGGACCTAAATTTTCCCACAATGAGTTTCCAACAGCAAACCCACAGGAGCTAACACTTTCAGAATTTAAGTTTTCATTGACAGGTTAGTAATGAAAGAAATTAAAGAACACCTTTCACACATAAATTACATGCACAATGTCATGTCTGATGACTTCTCCTGACTGAAACTGCACCAAAGCTAAGGCCACATCACTAGTGAGTATTACTGGAAATCCTGTATGTAACACAGAAACACAGGAAAAAACAAACAAACAAACAAAAAACTTGTTCACCTTCCCTTCCTGATCACCTGGGAAAGCTGCAAAAATCAGAGGCTGCCACTACTAATTCAAGTTCTTTCCAGGTGTTACTGCCACAATAATTAAATTATACAGATACTCAGTGGGAAAAATTCCTCCACAACTAGACTCTTGAATTAGAAACCTTCTCCACAGATACATGGTAAGAAACCTGAACTGGTAAGATCCAGACCTGAGAGTGGAGGAAGTACAGTGAGCTAGGATGGTCAGAGGAAGAGTAAACTTTCTTTGTAAAAGGAGAGTAGAAAGGGTTGGTTTGCTTAGCTAACAAAACAAAGGTCAACGGGGGATGTGGTTGCCTGCTCTAAGGCAGTCAAAAAAGGTTACAAAGGGAGACTGCTACAGGGCAATGCTAACACCACAATGAACAGGAACATGAATGCAAGCAAGAAGAAAATCAGACAGAGCTTCTCACCATCAGAGCCGCCACTTTCTGGAAGAGCCTTCCATTAAGAGCAGCAGAGATAAGCAACACCATTACTTTAAAGATGGATCATACAGATGTTACAGAAGGGACAGGACGTGGCTGTCTGCACCACTTGGGAACTAAGCACGGAGATACAATAAGTCTGTCTCCTATACTACGAAGTTTTTGGAAGTATGATGAAATGAAAAAACAGATGAGAGCAAACAAAACACAGACTGATGGGATTAAGTGATGGTATTAGTTCATACAACAAACACAATATGAAGAAAACACATAGGTATATCTGAGTCCAAATATTACATCTGTTGTGTCGAGAGCAAAATTGCATCTGTTACACAACTGGCAAACAGGGTGGGATTTAATTCCAGAACTAGAGACTGAGATCCAGTGAAACTAGAACTCAAATTTGACATTGTTGAGAACATTAGTAAACTCACTCATTTAAGGAATTTAAAATATCAAGCAGTTAGGGCAAAAATATCGTCAGCTCAAGTTGAGATAGGTTCTTTCAAACAAAACATTATGCAACAATTATTGGCTTGACTGACAGACAAGTTTTGTTGTGGGTTTTTTTTTTTCCATTCCTCAACTGTAACAAGAATTAAAAGTACTACACTGTAGCAGCTGACAGTCAGGAAGGATCAACATTTTTCAATATTTAGAAAATTCTACACAGTATAGTAGCTATTATCAGACGTATAGCATTTCTACCACTAGACTGAAAAAAAATTAAATCGTAGTCATATTAGCTGAATTTAAAAAAAATCAAAGAACTGCTGCATTGGAAAGCTTTTAAACAATGCATCAGAGTGTAATGTAGCAGTTCAGAGTAGCAGATATCTAACTAACATATATGCAAATGTGGTTATGCATATTCAGTATATACGCACTTAGGCTTTTGCTTCTTTGCAAGAAACAGCCAATATCATAAAAGATGTTTCAGGGAGGAAGAAAGTACAGTGCACAAAGGAAGATATACAAAGAACCCCTCAGTAAAAGGAAAACAGTGAAATGGCAGCATATATTGAGAATAACATATGAAAAAGTTAATATAATGTGCATAATACACAATAATAAAGTGAAGCCAAGCCAAGATAGCATGGAAAGTAATACTTCAAAAGTTTATGCTATGGATAATAAGTACATATTTAAAGCGCTACTTCTGCATGTTATCTTCTTCCTCTTTTTTTTTTTTGTGAATTATGTACATTCTCCTTTACTGCAAATTAATATTCCAAAGAAAACTCCTATCGAAATGTTAAATTTAAAATGTTGTGGATTGTTGGGTTTTGGTGGTTTTCAGATTTTATTTAAATTAGAAAGTAAATATATAATTGGTAAAACAGTCCATAACACGGACGTGGAAAATAGCGACTGCCTTCAGTGGCACAAAGTTTTGGCTGTGTCATGTGGATCCTCGCTGCAACTCACCTCTGTATATTCTGCATTTCTCACCATTCTTACTGTATTAATGGCAGAGTGGAAAACTAACAGAAAAACAAAAAAATTCTCTTTAGAGAGGATGGATAGGCACTGGTAAAATTAAGGGAGGAAGAGATGAAGAAAGTAAGGTGTGAACAATTTAGGTAAAGAGACAGTGATTGTCCAGTGAAAAGAAGAGAGACTACAACCAGGGAAGGGGAAAAAAAACCCAAGCCAAGAAAATGAGCAAAAAATACTGCAAACAAACAAGAGATATTACAGCATCTGACTATCAACAAAACAACAAGAAGACTGACCACTGGTTACCATACGATGTTCCAAGCTCTACATTTATGAAACGTTCCTCCTGGCTGAAAAATGTTCTTGGTTCTTGTCTTCTTAAAAAAACCCCACAGATCTTCCACAGCTTAGCTATGTGCATGTATGAGAATGGTGAAAAATAAAATAAAGGGGAAAAATCTGTTCATGTGCAGCAATACACCGGCTCAGGAGTAATGCAAAAGTAACCAACCAACCTCAGGATTCAGAAGTTTCCTATGTACATTTAAATGTTTCATTTCCCATACTCCAAGGTGTTCTTTAACTTGTTATATCTTTGAATTTAAAAAAATAACTTATATATGACTGACCTAATGTATTTCTGAGAAGAAGATTAGAGACAAAATCAGGTGGATTAAAATTAAGTTTTAAAGGGCTATGGTATTAGGTGTCTCTATTTCTCTTTTTAAAAGCATTCTATTAAATAGAATACTTTAAACACAGTTATGTTTTATTTAGATTATGAAATCTTTAATTAGAATGAAAATACTTTTAAAAATAGTTTTCACTTTTTCTATGTTGAGTAGCATTGCACTAATGTAACCTTAGCACCATGGTCAAAATTGATTTCTGCAGCTCCACACCCAAAGTAAACCAGTACAAATCATATATTATATCAGCTATTTTATAATTTAGGTAAGGAGTGGACTTTTCTTTTAAATCAAACATGCTATTAGAAATTTAAGAGGTTTGCGTCATAGCCAGTTTTAACTTCCACATTATGCAATAAATTACTTTTCCTGTTAGAACTACGTGACTCTCTGCTAGTTACCAGTCCATAAACTGACCTTAAAAAAAAAAATCACTTATGAGGGAGACAGAAGGAGAATGAATGAATATCCTCTAGTTTTCATTCAGATAAGATGCTGTGACTAAGGTACATCATACAGATTCACCCACAAGA